CACTCTCTGGCTCCACTTCCGCGGTATAAGAGGGGTCATTTCTCTCCCCTTCTTCATTGGCAGCTACTAGAGCAATTAAAGCCCGACGTCCCGCAGCCTGAAACTCGTTCTGCGGCCTTCCGCCTGTTCCGCTAACCGCCTGCCTCCTCTCTTCCCGTGCTGCCCGACCTCGCGATGGTGATTGCTGGAGCTCCCGAGCCGTCGCCAGAGCGCGTTGCCGCCTGGTCGGCAGTGGTCGCCAAGCCTCAGTCTGAGCCCAGAAAGGCGACCACGGCGACGAAGCCCCCGGTGCCTCTGGCTCCGAAGCCCTCGACAACATCCGCTGAAAAGCCTCCTCGCCCTGAACCCGCGGCTCCCCTTGCCGCAGCTGCCGCTCAGTCTGCGGCCCCTGCTTCTGCTGAGCGGTCCGCCCCGTCTGCACCAACTGCTCCCCAGGCTCCACTTGAAGCCCCGACAAAGACTGACGCCGCACTCCCGGCTCCCGCTCCTGTTGGGCCACCAGCTGCTGGCCACGAGCCGCAGACTTGTGCGCCTGCCTCGTCCCCGCAGCCGGCGTCTGCCACCACTGGCAGCCCGGCACAGTTGATTGTACCCCCTGTAGTGGACCCGGCTGCCCCTGTTGCGCCGTCCGTGGCTCAGCAGGCAGTCTCGTCCTCCCTCGCTGGACCGTCGCCTATCTTGCCCCCATTCTCCAGCGCCCCAATAGGATCGAGCGTCCTCCTGGCGCCGGCGCAATTCTCCCCGGTGCAATCAACAGTCGGGTCAGTGGCAAGCGCACAGTGGCGGTCGCGGTGGCTGGTGGGGTCCTCGCGGTCGCAATGGCGGAGGATCGTATGATCCACCCGTGAGGATGGCGGATCTGCAAAGGGCGGTAACGACCGTGATGCGTGAGGAGAGGGCTGCTCAGACCCAAGGCAGCTCGCACGTTGCCGCCGCCTATCCAGCTCAGCGTCAGGCGGCGCTTCCTGAGGTTCCGCTCCCTGCTGCACCAGTCCAATCTCGTGTTCCGGCCCCATCGCCTCCCGCTGTTGCTGCGTCTGCTCCCGTTCTAGGGTCGCGGTTGCATCTGCCGCCCGTCCCGCCCGTGGCAGGAGTAGAATTTGTGGCTGTGGGAGGCGGAGCGGTGACGGTGGGTGGCCCGGCTCCTCTTGCCGTTGAGGAGCCATTCCAGTTCCTTGCTCAGGCGCTGCAACCCCCTCAGGCCCGTGTTCCGGAGGCGACCCTCGGCCAGCTCTTCCGTCTCGCGGAGAGCTTTCACGCACTGCTTCTGATACAGGTTCTTGCACATTCGTCTCTCCCTGCGGTCCCCCCTGAGTTGTTCCTGGATCGACATCGCGATTCTTGCCTGGACGCAGCCGATCAGCTTGCAGGGCTGCTGGCGCCCGTGCTGGCTGCGCCCGCCGAGGGAGGCGTTGCGGCGGCGGGGCCGCTTGATGAGGCTGTGCGCGGCTTGCGGCGCCATTTGCGTGCTGGTTCTGGAGCCGCCGCGATCGGCGCAAGCACGCTTGTGGTCCAGAAGCGGTGGCGCTCCCTGATGGGCATTCTTCACGCCCTCGGAGCTCACCGCATGTAGACGCGGGCTCCGGCTCCGCCATTAGAGGGTTGCGCGGCTAGGCCGCGGTAGGACTTGTCATGCTTGTATAGCCGTTACGAGCAACTCTGTGTGTTGTGTGCTTGTCGTTCCCTCACGCGCGGCCGAAGGCCGCGCTGTCGAGCGTCGGCCGCCGAAGGCGAGGCGCGAGCCGCTCCGTTAGGAGAAACAAATGAAGAGAACCGAACAATGAGGAGAGCTAGCTGCAGAGGAGCACTTTATACTAGGCTAGAGAGTGCTGGAGAGGCTAAGGACTAGCTCCTAGGGCCTCTCTCTCTCTCTCTCTCTCTCTCTCTCTCTCTCTCTCTCTCTCTCTCTCTCTCTCTCTCTCTCTCTCTCTCAAGTAGTCATGTATTGATAGTGGTCACGAGGTACGGACATGGCAGGAGATGGCTGTAGCTAGTTTGTCTGGGCCTGTAGGCAGCCAGGAAACCTAAGAGCTAGCAAACAGAGCATGCAAGCGAACAGGCAAGCATATGGGCAAGCAAGGCAAGCCAAGCAGTGCAAGCCAAGCGGGCATGCCGTTTGTGTACGGCCCTGTCCCCTAACATCTTAGCGGGCCGGCTAGCAGCAGAGCCAAAACCCCGAGTACCTCCCTCTCCTCCTGTCCTGTGGCTCCCCCGACCCCACCCAAGTCCCCCTGCCCCCCTGGAGCTTCCTCTCACTTTCCTGCAGTCGCTGACTTTTCCCTCCTGCCCCTCAAAGCCGCCCTGGCAGGAGCCTCCCGCTCCTCATACTCATCCTCCGCCATCTGCCAGAGGACCCCTAGCCGTGGGGCCCAGGGGTCTCCTGCAGCCTGCGGGAATGCCGCTTCGGCTGCTCGGTTGGACTTAGAGAGGAGTGAGATGGCTTGGCTGCGCTGCAGCATCACCGACCACCTCTGGCGGTAGTGTGCAGTGAGCCGAGCTGCCGTTGTTGTGAGGCGCCCCTGTCTGAACTTCGTCTTCGCCGCGTGGGTAGCCAGCATGCCAAGGAACTGGACTGTGTCTGCCGCCATGGCCCCGTAGGTCTCGACAGCCAGTCCAAAGAATCCGGCATAGGTGGGGCGCCCTTCGTATAGCCGATGCTTCCGCTGTGAGGCTTCCTCCGCGGCCCACCCAGGCGGCCTGCAGGCCCTGCTGTCTCTGTTCTGTAAAACTGGGTCTGTCACGGTGACATCCGTTACCCATGTCGCCCCCGACTCCTGGTCCCGTATTGCTAAGTCTGCCCGTTTCCTGAGGACTGGTGGTGAGAACGCTGAGGTCTCATGAAACGTTTTGTAGCCCGCCTCATTAGCAATCCGCAGCGCCGCATAGACTAGGGCGTTGTGGGTCCTGACAGCATCACCCCCGTCCTGGCAGCGCAGCAGGTGGTTCGGCAAACTCTTGTCCCCGATCGCCGCGTTGTCACGTTTGCACGGGCACACGTCAGCTACTGGCAACTCCATGCCCAGGCGTAGGCCCAAGGCCAACGAGAACTGACCAGGGGAAATAGAGAGGTCAGCTCTCGTCGGTACCGCATGTAGCCAGTCGCCCGCGCCAGTCCCTCTCAGGCTTATCAGTCTCAGCGCGTGACCTCTGTTGGTGCCAGGCCTGTCCGCCACCGTGTCCCCCAGGAGCTCGACCGCCCGCTGCTGGTTGATTATCTTGGAGAGGCACAGCTGGAGGCTGCCTGTGCCCTTGTTCCCCGTCCTGTAGGCTCCCAGCGCCACCTGTGCCTGGGCTGGCAGCCCCTCCTCTAAGCTTGACAGTGTGCTGCTGTCTGGCGGTGGTGGGCTCCAATCGTGGGAGAGCAGGGCCGTTGCTCTGTGTAGCAGGCAGTCCGGAGGAAGATTCAGGTGCTGCAGAAGGATGTGCGCCGCCGTGACAGAAGCGATGTAGGCGGCCGGGGCCTCAGAGACAGGGTCAATGATTCCCAGACCGCCCAGCCGAATCGGGAGGGTGGCCTGTCGCCACATTTAGCTCTGCTCCAGCTCCGAGTTGGGGATGCGGAGCTTTGCAGCTGTGAGCGCCGAGCCAACCAATGCCTCACTCCAGTCCCTCCACTCCTCAGCGCCCAAGGTCGTCGCCGGCGTCGTCCTCAGCATGTATGAGATGCGTCGGGATATGCTGCGGGAGATTATGAGCATGGCATGTTGCGGGTTTAGCTGAGAGACAAGGGGAAGGGGCGAGGCAGCTTCCCCCAGTGCCGCCCGGACTTGGGCAGTGCAGAAGTCGTCGCTGCCGATAGGGCTGCCAAGGACCCGTATCCCGCATGGGTCCGCCACCAAGCCTAGTGGTAGCTCCCTGTTATCTCCGTCGTGCTCCGCTCCCCATGCCGATGACTTAGAAATGTTGCAGCGTAGTCCATATTCGGCCAAGTCGCCCGCTATCTTGGTGAAAGCACGGCACGCTGCTTCCTGTTGGCCGATAATGGTGATGTCGTCCGCGTAGGCTACCACTGCCACTTCCGGTGTTGTCGCCGAGACGCTCAAGAGGGCGGGCTGGATCGCTGCCGCGAACAAGAGAGGGCCCAAGGGATCTCCCTGTCTGACGCCACGTGTGCTCTGGATTTGGTCTACTCCCAGTCGAGCATCTACGAGCAGAGGCGATGGACCGTCGTACAGATTTCGGACCAGGGGAAGTAGCGGGCTCAGGTTGGACCACTGCAGCGAGCTTAGGAAAGCCCTTCGCTCGACACTGTTGAAGGCATTTTCGATGTCTAGCTGGAGAGCGATGCGGGTCTTTTCCTCACGGAGTAGAGAGCGGACCGTGTGGATGATGCACTCCGCACCTCCTGGAACCGTTACTCCAAACTGAACTGGTAAGAAAAAATCCCTTATCTTGGGCCCCAAGAAGGTCCCGCTCCAACACCATTCGGGCACTTCGCCAAGATTTCGCGAAGTGAATCCGGCGAAACCGCCAGTTCAGACTCCGTGACTCCGGTAACCCACGCTGGTATCTGACTACCCGCTGCAGGGTGTTTCGCTTGCAGCGCTTCGAGTGTAGCCGGGGATGGTTCTGCTAGGGGGCACGTTCGGAGAGCTGCCACTGATTTCGAGATGTTCCCTTTTTTCACTAACCCCTCCGCTCTAGCGCAAACCCCTTCCTCGTCAGGCTGGTGCCGTACCGGGGCTCTTGTGTCGGGGATGAATCCCGCTTCCTCGAAAAGCTCAGACCACTCGCCTCGTTGGAATTTGTGCAACCTAGCTTCAATTGCAGCCCAGCGACTCCCCAAGACAGGTTCGGGCGCAGGCCTGAGGGTGAGCCTCGGAAGGAACAGCAGCACCGTCCTACCACCTGGGCAGCTGGGATTTTTATCTAGGCGAAAGAGTGCTGCCAGCAGGCACAGACAGTATCTGTCCAGGATGTGTGGTGGCAGCCGGCGGACAAGGAATGGCTGGTCCCCTCGCTGAAGCACGTTGACATCCCACTCCCCCGCCATGTGCCAGATGGCGTCATCGGCGGCCAGGTCGGCCGGTGAAGGCACATCAGTCTCCTCCGTGGCAGGTGCTTCTCCTTCCGCTGGGTTGCTGGGAATACCCCCTGCCGCCACTCCAGTTTGAGGTTCAGGGTTGTTCCTCCTCCTGGGTGCCTCCTCGTCTTCCAACGAGATTTCTTCCGAGGTCTCCTCCTCCCCAACCATAAATTCACGGGTCGGCCCCGGAGTTGTCAGAAACCTCCTATCCCTCATTCGTCTGCGGGATCGCTCTCTCAGGCCTGGCGTGACGCTCCCGCCAGGGGCCAGTCCTCACGGGGATCTCCAATCTGGGTTGTTGGTTGCGCCCTCCCCGTCCGCCTCTCATCCCCCCGCGCAAAACCCCTCGCTGTCCCCGCCCAGCCGCTCCCGCCATTTCAACCGCTCCGTTGCCACCGCGGCCCACCGGCATCCACGGCGTGCGGCCTCCCCGTGGTGGTCCCCAGGTTATCGCTCCCAGCCGTGCCGACCTCCTCGTCTCTACAGCCGCTGCCGCTACGTTCGAGCCCGCTGCTGCCGCTGTCGTATCTGTCACTGCCGGCGCCCCATTGGTGGCGCGGACTTGGTTTCCCGGCGCCTGCGTCGGCGCGGCCTGCGTCGTTGTCTGCGCGGTGGAGGTCGCCACAGCCGCTTCGACGTGAGATGGCGGCGGACGCGCTGGCCCTTGTGGCGACTGCCCTTGCAGCAGCCAGCCCAGGAGGGGTCCCGGGACGCCAGGTCCCAGCCCTGCTCCAGGCCGCCTCGGTGCTGGCTGGGCGCGGAGCTTCTTCCCGCGAGCGGCGCAAGAGGCGACGCCAGTCCCGGGAACCGGTCTACCACTCCCCGCCCGACCGTGTCCGTGCATGTTTGCGCCCCCGGCACCAGCAGAGGTTCCGCCGGCCCAAGCGGCAGGCGGCGCCGTCTCTTCGTTCGGGGGTAGTTGCTGTCGCCTCCCTGCCTCAACCACGACCGCAGCAACCTCCGCCGTCCCCAGCGGAGACGGGGATGCAGCCGACTCCGGTACCATTTGACACTCCTCCGCGGTCCCACCCCCCCCCCCCTCTCAGGTAGCAGCGGTTCAGGCGGTCGCACCACAGCCGGCGAGGTTAAGCCGCCGTCAGAGGCGGCAGCAGTCTCGGCAGCGGACACTCCCCCCACCGTCCCAGCCGTTTGTGTCCCCTCCTGCGCCATCCTCGTCCCCTCAGCTGCAGCAGCTGCGTCAGTCTCCTCCAGCAGCGCCGCACCCTCGGCCTCAGCAGCATTAGCAGCCGCCGCCAAACCAGTTTCCGCTGCCCCAGCCCCAGCTGCATCAGCCGCCAGCTCCCCAAGTGCAGCCGTTCCCTCCCATCCCGCCAGCCCCTCGTGCTGCCGCTGCTCCTGTTGCTGCGACGCCACTCCACGTCGAGCAGCGCGTAATGCACGTGGGGACGTGTCTGACTTTGCTGTCGTACGTCCTGGACCAGCTCCATGTGTGTTTGGCGCGCCAGAGTCTCGACGTTGGGGGGATGGTACCGTCGGAGCAGTCGGCGGCAGTGGCAGCAGCAACGGAGATGCTGCATTATCTCCCCTTGATCGGTCTTGTCCCTGGCGCCCCTGGTGCAGCACTCGGGCCCGGGCCTGGGGCAATGATGCGGCTTGCAGAGTCCGCTCAGCAGGCCCCCCTTGGCCTTGTATCAGCAGCCGCATCCGTCCTGCGTTGGATGGACGGGAGGCTGTGCTGGATACTCGCCGAGTAGCCGATGTTTTCCCCTTGCCAGCACCGGTGGCGATGGGCTTGGCCTTGGGCTTCCCCATGGCGGTGTAGGCACGCCCGGGGGTGCTGTTGTTGCTGTAGGTTACTACCACCGCATGTTGTACCACTTGTTGTTATAATTCTTGTCGTCCCCTGTCCTTGCCACACCTCACGCGCGGCCGAAGGCCGGCGCGAGCCGCCGGTTTTGGAGAGTAAACTGAACTCACCAGTGAAGAATGAGCTCAGAAGGGAGCAACTAGGGACTTTATACTAGGGTACTAGGCTGAAAAACGGCTAAGTACTGGATCCTACAACAGAAATGGCTGGGAAAACGGCTAAGGCGACCGGCTCCCGCCTGCATCTGCCACCTGTTCCGCCTGTCGCAGGGGTAGAGTTCGTGGCGGCGGGTAGTGGCGCTGCTGCGGCTCCGTACGCAGCTGATGAGTCCCTCCGGTTCCTGGCGGCGGCTCGGCTGCCTCCGCAGGCGCGCGTTCCTGAGACAACGCTTGGTCAGCTTCACCGTCTCGCGGAGAGCCTGCATGCTCTGCTTCTGATTCAAGTGCTTGCGCACTCGTCTCTCCCTGCTGTCCCGCCCGAGTCCTTTCGCAGCCACCTGCGTGACCCGTGCCTCGACGCAGCTGACCAGCTCGCGGAGCTGCTGGCGCCCGTGCTGGACTGCGCCCGCGGAGGGAGGCGCTGCTGCCGCGGGACAGCTTGGTGAGGCTGTCCGTGCACTGCGGCGACACTTGCACGCAGGATCCGGAGCCGCGGCGATCGGCGCAAGCACGCTTGTGGTCCGGGAGCTGTGGTGCTCCCTGACGGGCATCCTCCATGCCCTTAGAGCTCACCGCATGTAGGCGCGGGCTCCTGTAGCTCCATTTAGTGTACCACGCGGCTAGGCCGCGGTAGGTGGTGCCATTGGTGTAATGCTTCTTTGCTATTAATGGTTCCTTGCGTGAATGCTTGCCGTCTCCTTTACGCGCGGCCGAAGGCCGCGCCGTCGAGCATCGGCCGCCGAAGGCGGCCAGCGCGAGCGCAAAAATCTCAGCCGCCAAACTAACAATGAGGAAATGGCCTTAGAAAGGCCTTAAGTAGGCTAGGGGCAGAGGGCAGAGGCTAGGGGCAGAGGGTAGAGGCTATTCCCCTCTCTCTCTCTCTCTCTCTCTCTCTCTCTCTCTCTCTCTCTCTCTCTCTCTCTCTCTCTCTCTCTCTCTCTCTCTCTCTCTCGAACGGTCCTTTGTATTGATATAGAAATGAAAAAACAGCAAAGGCAAGCAAGCAAGCAACAAACAGGTATGTCTAACTATTCTCTTCCCTACCCTTTTCCCCTCCCCCCCCCAAGTCTTCTACTCACTACCATGGCCCGGTTCTAGGGTAGCAAAGCACTCCCCCGGGTCTAGGACCCCCTCGGGGCCTCCTAAGGCAGGGTTCTCCTTCTGGGCTGCAAGGTTCAGTTTGATGAGGAAGCTAACGGCCTGTGCCCTCTGCAAGGCGACGGACCACCGCTGGCGGAACTGGTGCAGCAGCTTTGCGGCCTGGTAGGTTGAGGGGTCCACGTTGAAGTGCAAGGGTGCTGCTCTGTCCGCCAGGTGCTTCAGGAAAGCCTGTACCTCGTCACATGGGCAGCCATAGGTCTCGACTGCCAGAGGGTAAAAGCCTGCAAATTCAGCCCTGCCGTGGTATAGCCCTATTTTCTTATCTGCTGCCTCCCTTACTACCCATCCCCTTCCCTTCCTGGCAGTCTCGTCCCTTTTGCTGATAGGGTCGGTGATGGTTATATCACCCAGCCACACCACCCCACTGCTTCTATCCCAAATAGCCAGGTCGGCCTTTTTGTTGTCGACCGGGCTAAAAGCCGTACTCTCCTTGTGCACAATGAACCCCGCGTCCTGAGCCATACGCACACACTTGTCCCGCAGCTCATTGTGTGTGCTGGTCCGTCCGTGCCCTGTGCCGCAGCGGAGGAGGTGGTTGGGGAGGCGCTTGTCTGTTATGGCGACTCCGCCTGTGCAGTCGCAGTTGCTAGGGACGGGGAGAGGCAGTCCTAGGCGGAACTGGAGGGCGAACGAGAAGTGGTCGGGATCGAGGCGGAGGGAGGGCATGTAGGGGATGGCTATCAGCCAGTCCCCTGCACCGTAGCCTGTGAGGGTCAAGAGCTGCTGAGTGTGGCCGCATAGGGGGTTCAGGTCCATATGCCGCGATGTTGCAACTTGAGCGGCACTGCGTCCGCCCTGGACCAGGACGGCAAGGCGATGCTGCAGCTGTCCCTTGGGCGCTTCCATTTCTGCCACCAGCAGGTCTCGTCCCTCCTGTGTGAGGCTTGCCTTACACTCCCCAAGCCAGGCTTGCAGTTGGTTCGGGTCCGGGTCCACCTCCTCTGTCCAGTTCAGGACGATGGAGAGGTGAGCCCCTGCGGGGCCGGGCAGGGAGGCAAGGAGTCCGTGCGCATGGACGAAGCTTGCCAGGTAGCTGTAGCGCCCTTCAACCGCTAGGTCCGCCAGCCCCAGGCCTCCTAGGCTTGGGGGGAGGGAAGCCTGGTCCCACACGCGTCGTTCCTCCGCATCCCCCCTCGGATGGCGCACGCCACAGGGTGACGTCACATATGTAAACTGCCCTGCTGCTCCTGCCCGTCATTGTGAAGTCCGCCGTTTGCTCTTCGATCGGGCAGTAGTCGGTTGATTCCCGGTGGACTATAAAGCCCACATCCGGCGCCATGCTAACGCAGGCATCCCGCAGCTCGTTGTGCAGTGTTTGTGCGGTGCTTGCCCGTGCCGCAGCGAAGCAAGTAATTTGGAAGGCGGGTGTCGGTGATGGCCGTGTGCTCCGAGCAGTCACTGTTCTTGGGAGTTGAGAACGGCAAGGCAAGTCGGAAGTGCACGACGTTAGCGAAGTGCACTGGCCCTATCCGCCTCGTGGGAGCGACTGGGATTGCCGTGATCCAGTCGCCGATGTCCGTAGCTAATCAGGGAATACATCCGCTGCGTGTGTCCCGCGAGTGGATTCAGCCGCATGCGCCTCGTCGCCTGTACCTGCACGGCGTATCTACTCCCATGCACCTTAAGTCCGAGCACGTGCTAGAGCCGGATGTCAGATCGTTCTAGCTGCTCCTTATCTAAAATCTCCCGTGCATCTGACGGTAGCGCCTCCTCACACTCCGTCAACCAAGCGTACAATGGCGTGGTGCTTTCCCGTGGCAGGAGCATGTGATTCCGTGCAAGTGTCAGTGCGTTCTCTTCTCCTAGCGAGAGGTCGTTAAGAAGGAGCACCGCCTGAGTGAAGCTCGCCGTGAAGCCGTAAATCCCCTCAATGACCGGGTCCGTGATGCCCAATCCTCCTAATGACGGTGGTAACGACGCCTGCTCCCAGACCCGTGTTTGCTCAGTTCTGCATGTCGGCATGCGGATATCGCATGAGGTAAGGAGTGTGGTGAGCAGGTCCATACCCCACTGGCTCCATCTATCTCGGGGGAGGAGGTGCAGTGGCGTTGTCCTTGTAAGGTATGCGACACGCCTCAAGATACATCGCGTAATAAGCAGTGCCGCCACTTGGGGATCCGCTCGTTCGATAAGTGCCAGTGGCTTTGCCATCTCTTCGAGCTGCCTTGCTAGGAATGTTGCCGCGCCGCAATCAGGCTCCATGAAGCTTCTTAGTAGCCGTATGCCGTCCTTAGAGAACGGTATTCCCAGAGGGAGAGTGGCCGTTTCCATCGCACTTGAACTCCATGCAGCACATTTTTAAGGGTTGTGCTTAAGGCCCAAGTGTGCCAACTTGGTTGTGAAGTGAGTGAATGCTGCTACAGTGTGCCCTGCGTCACCGAGAAAAGTCACGTCGTTCGCATACGCCAAACAGAGTAAGCGGGGTGCGCGTCTGCGGTTTCACAAAGTGTGGCATGTATCCCAATGCTCATCGCCCCACACTCCCGTTGCTCACTCCCTCAATCACAGCTACCACGTTTAACTGCAAGGATGTGCGTGATCAGGCAGGGGTAATCTCTGCCATCCAAGCCCACCTTAGGCTCATGAAGCTCTAGCTGCAGTAAGGTGACGAAGAGGAAGCGCTCGCCAATGTCACTAGAATCGAAACACTCATCAACAAACGCTTCGAGGTGCTCTTGGTGGCGGATAAGGTAGGTTTTGAAGCAGCCTACCGCTTCCAGCTCTACCATGTTGAAAGGTAAGTGAGTGGAATGAGTAGATTAGGTCAATGTAGGGGTACAAGACAAGTGTTGAGAGAAAATATTGTACCCCTAAGGCACAACTCACTACAGGATAAACTAACATATGCAATATAACTTTGACACACCCCCATATCCTGAGTGAGATTCATAAAACTGACCGCAACAAGCATGTGGTAACTAGACCAGTCTAGAGAAGAAAGCTAAACAAAGCTTAGGGTGGATCTCAAGATCACCACAAGCAAGCGGCCACAAGGCCAGTTCACATGCAGAGTCTATAAAAGCAAGTGCAATACACTGATCACAACCTAGCAAGAGCAAACATGCAGGTATAGTCATATATTTCAGTGTACAACAAGTGCAAGGCAAGATCAAGAGACAAGCAAGTGAGGCAAAGTGGGCACAAGCTCAAGAGCAGTGCAAAAACGCTGATGATCACTAGACCAAAGGGCCTTGGTGAAGACATCAGCAGTGTTGGCCTGTGTTGCCACGTAAGCAAGACTAAGCTGAGGACACTATTGCAGCTCTCATGTGAGGAAGTAACGGAGAGCAATGTGCTTCGTTATGTGCTCCAGTCTCTGAGCCTGACATAAGGCAATCTTGGCCTTGTTGTCAACGTACAGAACTGAAGGAGAACAAGGCCGCTCACCAAAGTCGGTCAGCGGGTAGGTCAGCAGGTAGGTCGGCGAGCGGAGCTCCTGTGCAGCCATAGCCCCAGCGTTGATCTCGGTTTCACAGCTCGAACTAAGTACAGAAGAAGAGTGAGTGGACCTCCACGAGAAAGAACTAGTACCGAGGCTGAAACTGTACCGCTGTGTTGACCGGTGATC